ACTATGGTCCTGGACATCTCTAGGTCACAGCAGTGGTATGCAAGGTCTCTGGGCCGCTGTCATATGAAGTGGCCTTGGACGATGGATGTGTCATCCAATGACACATCAACCAACTGTGCTGGAGGCTACACAGCAACACGTCCGCTCCTGGCTCTGCTCTGGGGGGGGGGAGGAGGACCATAATCTTCATTCTGGACCACAGTCTCCCAGCTCCAGCGGGTTTTCACATGCTACCGCACATGTTTCTGTGGGGATATTCACAAGATTCAGTTATTGCTCCAGAATGGGGGTCATACCAGGCTTCCACAAGTGCTCCAAACAGGGAGTCTCCAAAAACGGGTTTTTTTGAGGTGGCTCCTGACTCTGGCACCTCCGGCCCATACACGGGGGCTATGGGGTACTGGGGCACTTCCGCCACTCAGGCCACTCCAGCTGCTGGTCTTGGGCTCGAGGGACAGTGCTCCCAAGAGGAGTCCATTGTGGATTTGGGGAATTCCACCCCTCCACTGGACTTGGGGAATTCCACCCCCCCAAGGAACTCTGGTTTGGATTCAGAGGATCCAGCCAGTCAGCAGCTGGGTGGGTCACCTGGGTCCTTGGGGCATCAAAGTCCTGGTCTGCCTAGCTTGGCAGGCGAGCTAGCGGCCAGGCACACTCACCGGCCATTAGAAGGTCACAGCGGGCCAAGGGCCCACCTAAACTTCTTTAGGACTATGTGAGGTTTCTGTCAATTCTAAGGGAACCTTACTAGTCCTTAAACAAGATGCAGAACAAACACTCAGTGAAGGAGTGTTATCTTCAGCTTATTATTTGTTCTATTTTCTTTCTGAATGATTGTATACAGTATGTAAGAGTGCTTGCCTGTGTGCAGGGTATTGTGATTTCCATTAACCCCCAGTCCCTTGAATACCTGTACCTGTGCTTGTTACATCATAAAGTATATAGTTTTATCTAGGGGGAGGGGTGTTGTGTCCTGAGCCTGCTGAAGCATTCAGCAGGCTCAGAAATGTTGCAAATGGTCCTGGGCAGACCAAAAGCTGCCCGGGACCAGATTGGCTGTCGCCAGCCTTCTGCACATGCGCAAGGTGCGAAAACAGCCGGATTTCTATTGGCTGACACTGTCCGGGTTTTGGACACTATAAAAGGCCTGCACGCCTTTTGCTGGTTGCTGGTTGTGAGAAGAGATCAATAAAGGAAGCTTGTTCACACAATGTGTCTCCGCTTAATGCCTCGACCCTGCAAACATAAAACTGAGTAACCAGTATAGAGGAATAGCCCTTTTCAGTGGTTGTCCTCCACCTCTGAAGTGATTCTCCCGGTATAATTGTGTTCTCTTTTTGGCACTAACCAAAGACACTTTTTGTTTGTCTGTATTTTACTCAATTATTGATTTAATTTTTAATTTTTGTATTGTTTAGAATTTTTAAAAATACGTCGGTGGCTGCTGCTTATATTATTTTATTGTTTCAGTGTAAAGTGTTTTAATTCTTGTGTTTTGTGCATTATACATTTTCAAAAATTATGAGTTTATGTTGTTATAAATATAGGAAGTATGATCATGTTTATATTCTATTTTATGAATCTTTTGCGGTGGGATTTTATCCCCAAAGAGTGGCCCATTGGAGTGTAGTCCTAAAAAGCCAACAATTCTTTGGCAAGCTAAGAAGAGTATATTCATGTGTAAATTTAAGACCAGTCCTTTGGTTGTGTTTGGGACCTTGGTTTTCAAGCATAATTTATAAGCTAGTACTTTCCAGAGTATCATGACGACCTGTTTGAAACTTAATTAATGTAATTATCACATACATCAAGGAGATCTGAAATGTGTGCCCAGTGGAGATGGCAGGAGAATTGGGCAGGTTTTCACGGAATCCAGAGAGGAGCTGTTTCTTCCTTCTGAAACTTTCCCAACAATGCTGAGTTCTTAAATTCATGCTCAGGATCAAGTGAGCCCCTTTCATTCTTCTTCACTCTCTTAAGTCTTGGAATAAAAGCTACATTTCATATTTAATAATTTGTGCTCCCTTTTTCAAAATAACGGGGTTTTGGTCACATAATATACCACATTTGGGGATCGTCTGTTAAGATCATGCTGATATTAACAACTCTATCCTGGATGAAGACACAGATTGTTATCTGGGGGCCCACATCTTGATTGTTGCTTGACTCCTCAGTTGGTTGGATTAATGTGCTTCTTTTTGCTCTTTGTAACAGGGTGTCTTTGGTGATTCCACCATGCCAAAAGTCTCGCTATGCCACTTACTTTGATGTTGCTGTATTACGATGCCTGCTTCAGCCACACTGGTCTGAGGAAGGCACACAATGGTCTTTGATGTATTATCTTCAGCGGCTGCGCCACATGTTAGAAGAAAAGCCAGAGAAATCATTTGACCCAGAACTCCCACCATTGCCAAGGCCACGCAGTAGTTCCATGGTGGCTGCTGCTCCCTCACTAGTCAATACTCACAAAACACAGGTAAGGCCACACCTGGATTACTGAATCCAGTTTTGGTCATCACATTACAAAAAAAATGTTGAGACTTTGGAAAAAGTGCAAAGAAGAGCAACTAAGATGATTAAAGACCTGGAGACTAAAACATATGAAGAATAGTTGCAGGATTTGGATTTGATTAGTCTAGAGCAGGAGTAGGCAACCTTGGCTCTTTTATGACTCGTGGACTTCAACAGTTCAAGCACTGCTACAAAGTTCCAATTCTCTATCATCCAAAGGAAACAAATGGTGACAGTGTTTACAAAAAGGAAAAAAAAAAAGTACCTGTTTTCCTAGTCAGGCTCACGTTTTTCTTGTCTCTCTTGGGGAGTGTAGGATCTCACAATGAAATGTAATGAGGAAGAAAAATCATTAAGCACCGAAGCTTTTGCCAAAGTATCCTTAACTAACCTGCGGAGACCAGCAGTTCCAGATCTCTCCTCTGATTTGGGAATGAATATATTTAAAAAGGTAAAATCATGATGTTTTAAAGTCCATGTGTGATCCCTTAATGAAACATCAACTCCATTTTACTAGAGGGAGATCTAATATTGCATCTGGATTTAGCCTTAAATTTGGGGTTGCTCCTTTCACAATGGGGCACAATTAAGATCTATGACCTAGTACAGTCTGTGGCCAAGAAAAGATGGCAGACCTCTGCCTAAAGATCAGTAAACACATTGCTTTTCATTTTGAAAAAAACCTATTGGGAAACGATGAAACAAACTCCCATCTAATGAAACAAACCAAACTAAAAGCAATTGCAAGGAAATTGTTATTTTTTCTAATCAAAGTTGCCTTCATGATGCCATCTCCTGCAGTTGATAGGAAGAACAACTTGGGGGGGGGGGAGGTTTTTTTAAATAGCAAAATGGTCTTCAGGGAGATCATTTTCTTGAGGCTGTTTTTCATTAAGAAAAAGTCAGGAGATTGTTAAGTGCAACTGCTGTATTTTCTCTAACTTGTCACACAGTCTTTTGAATATCCTCAAGTATATTTTGGTAATTGTTTGTCATAATGCAATGATGCCAAAATGAAACTGGATATTTAAGAGTGCTCCAGAGGACAACGTTACTTTGAGACATTGTGGAAGTATTCTTATGCTTCCATGCAATATAGAGAAAATCACAATATTTTCTTATGTGTTAAAAGTTCTGTGCACTAATTTCACAAATACATAATCAGTTCCAGTTCCAATTACTCAATCCAATTTCAGATGCACTTAACCTAATATTTTCCAGTCTTATTGGCACTAGCTCCATCTTATATACTAAGCACATATTCCACTTTAATGCCATGGTCACTTCTCTATTTCACGACATCATTTGCATCCCAAACCCACCCTCCATAAGTCTAAAACCCAACCATTTCTAATGAGCTAAAATTCACTTGTAATACTATTATTAATGCAACACACACCCTCTCATAGTTACTTTAAATCAGGATTGGGCGAATCATGGCTCAGAACTACCTGCAGCCCCATACTGTATGCCCTGATTACCATTGTATCCAGCCCTTCTGAAGTAGAAAAAACATGAAAATAGAATAGGCTTTTGTAATGACAAGTATCCACTCTCCAGAGAAACTGTGAGGTAATGTAGTTCTTTGGGAGCTTCAGCCTTCTGGGGAAAAAAAACTCTCTTTTGGACACCTAAATGTTGCCTGCCCCTACTGTAGTTAGATAAAACAATATAGGCCCAAAGAAAAAGCAAATGAATTCCAAGTTAGTTTCAAGAATCAGAGCCTCAGAGAAGAGATTTGTTGTTTGTTTATTACATTTATATGCCACCCATCTCACTGTTAAAGCAACTCTGAATTCTTGTTTTATGCTTTCTGCAATTCCCTTATGAGTTGTCCTGCATAGATTTCTTCTACATTTTCCCTGCAGTTCAAGAGCCGCAAGGAGGATCGTGAGCGCAAGGGCTCTATTCCTTTCCACCACACAGGGAAGAAAAGGCAGCGGCGGATGGGAGTGCCCTTTCTTCTCCAGGAAGACCATTTGGATGTATCACCTACTCGAAGCACATTTTCTTTTGGCAGCTTCTCTGGGATTGGTGAAGACAGGCGTGGCATTGAGAGAGGAGGGTGGCAAACCACTATTCTAGGTGAATGAGAGGCTATTACTGAGGACAAATCACTTTGCTGATAACCAGAGTTTTTTACTGGTTGTGGACATCAGTTACTTATAATCATGAAGTGTGCACAATGATGTCCATCTCCTGATAACGACATGAACAACAACAATGAATTCTTCTTTCCTATTTTACGGTTTGTGTTATTTGCACTGTTCACACATCCTCCAATCTCCTCTGGTGAATTAAGGGATCATCAGACCAGATTGGAGGAGAAATGAGGAATAAAGTCATGAAGGAGGTACAAGATTGAGGGAGAATCCATATACAACATTTAATGTAACACTTATGAACATTTTTCTTTTAATCTTACATATATGTTTTTTGCTTAGTCTGGATAATTATTCAACAATTATTTTCTGCCCACTAAAAGCAGATTGCTTCCAGCTCATTTATCCATTCTAATCGAATTCCTAATGCTCTTAATTCACTTAATGATCACTCTGCATTACAACTACAGATACTCATTTTCTTGTTCTCTTCACCTCACATGAAAGAAGAGGGGCATTTTCATTTCTTTATAGTACTTTCTCACTCATTTGTATCCATTGTAGTAAGAAATGTGATGGCTGTGTTCCTCACTGCAGTTTTGCTGCCGTTTCCAAGACCTCTCTGATCTGGAGATGCCCAGTCATTTCCAGCTTTTGAAGCTGCTCAACTTTTAAGAATCATGATCCATGAAAAGAAAATAAGGGATATAACTTTTCATGAAAACAAAATCGAACACTATGAGCCACAAAACTGATGCATTAGAATAATAATAAAAAAAGCTGGTGTTTGAGCAAGAATGGAAGGCCAAATAACCCTCCCTACACATCACCCCTACTCACTGGTTGGCAATGGACTGAACAAGGGAAAAATCCCATATTATTTATAACTGGCCCCTGTTGAACCCAGTTCAGAGTAAATGAGTTTGCCAATTTGGTTTAACCCATCACTTCAACCAAATGACTGTGCCTCATTCAAAGTCTCTTTAATTAGTGGACATTATAATGATCTGAAATTTATGTTGTGACAGTCCACAAAGGTACAGGTCCCTATGAATCCTAATCCTATTTTTTTTATTTTAAATATTATGCAGTTTGCAAATGATTCCTGGGTAAATGATAGAATATCAAGATGGGTGACAACAAAATAATAAAATAAAAATAAATTAAAATTGAAATGCAGCACTAATAGCACAATGCATGTCTTTTTTTTCTATTCCAGGGAGATTTACTAGGCGGGGCAGCTCCGATACAGCTACCGAAATGGAAAGTCTGAGTGCTCGGCATTCTCATTCCCACCATACTTTGGTTACTGACCTGCCAGACCACTCCAACAGCCACGGTGAGGTGATATTCAAGAGCACTGAGCAAGTGATTTTCCAGCACAGAGTTCCTGAAGAAACCCAGATGACAACTAGTTAGAATTAGAATATGGGTACATTAATTCACTTTTCTCCTATGAGAAATCACAAACCTTTGAGTTACCCAGGGTTTTTTCAAGACTATGTGTGTGTCTTCTTATTAAATCAGAAGAGGGCAGTGTTGCAGGAATTACTGTAGATAAAGATGATATATTGTTTGAACTCTTAACAGCTAATATTTTCCCAAATGTTGCTGATCTTGCAAGGGTACCAGAATAGACTAATAGATTCTCTTTCCTCTATTTAGTTCAGCTTCTAGTTATTATACACTTAATTAGTTATGAATAATCGTTGTAATGTTCCAGAATATTGTACTTAAATGAATCATCTTACACCTTCATATCAAGTGCTCTGTCCAATGAACTAATATCTGTAATGCTCTCTTGCAGTACGTTCCCAAATTTCAACCATCACAGTGGCCACCTTCAATACCACGCTGGCCTCTTTCAATGTGGGCTATGCTGACTTCTTCAGTGAGCACATGCGCAAGCTCTGCAACCAGGTGCCCATACCAGAAATGCCCCATGAGCCCCTGGCATGTGCCAATCTCCCTCGAAGTCTGACAGATTCTTGTATCAACTATAGTTGCCTGGAAGATACAGATCACATAGATGGGACCAGCAACTTTGTCCACAAGAATGGCATGCTAGATCTTTCGGTAATGATCAAGAAAAAGGAATATTCCTTTCTGTGCTAGTTATTGTATGATGGAAATCAAAATCTCTTAAATATGCAATCTTGTTCCATTTCAGCTCTGCATAAAGGTCATTCCACCAATTAATAGTAAAGTAAAATATAAAACCAATTCTTGGTGAAAAGAATTTAATACAGCATTATTAATAATTAATAATTTAATACAGCATACCAGGTTCCTATAGGAAGTTCTGGTTAAAAATGGAAATATTATATGGAAAACATGATCTTCTTTAGTGTGAGTCACATATTTTATTTTATCCTGTGTTATGCACTAAAATTTTTGTTACCCAGATTGTATTTATAGGATGGAGTAGGTTAAAAATGCAAATTGAGAAGTTCATTTTCCTATTTCTCAGTGAGTAGAAGTATACAGTTTAGTGCCACTGACTGACCGGCAGGCTTAAATCTTGTTGGGTTGTTTTCAAACTCCATAAAGTGCTCAAATAAAATTGCTGTCTTAGGGGGAGGGCTAATTTCTAAACTTCCATAAATTAAGAGCCTTTAATTACAGTGGAGGAATACATTTCGGTGAGAGAGACTTTATGTTAATTCATTGGTATCTTTTAGGTACCAGCTACACAATGCTAAGAATTGATCTTTTTCAGGGTATTGAAAGAGAAGGAGAGGCAAGATACTTAGGATAGAGACGAATATCTGTCAAACCTGGAGGATGTTAAGTATGCCAACATACTGTGTGTTCAGAGATAGACCTTTTAGCAACATCTTCATCTTTTGAAAATATTTTCCTTCAGAAGGTGGAGAAAAACATGAGTTTGACTTAATTGTAGAAATACAATAGTAGGAACATTTGGACAATTATGGAATGCTAGCATTCTTGATTTTAAGAGCACTAATTTGTCAGTTATCAAAACAATGATAACTAGATTCCTGCAGCAGAAGAAAATAATGGGAAAAGAAGCCAAAGACTAGTGGAACTTCCCAAAAAAGTATAGTAGCAAACAATTCCAGGTGGGGAAAAAGTGGAAGGCAGCAGAAGAAACCAACCAGTTGCACAATCAAGAGGAAAGACATATGAGGTGAAAAATGGGACAATCATCATGCAAACATACATAAAAGTAGCCCTGATTTGAAAAGATGATGCAACAAAATATATATATAATAAATCAAGGCTAATGAATTATGCTGAGAAAAAAATATTTTCCATGTAAGTTCACAATAAAAGAAGAATAAAAAGAAGAACAAAAGATAAAAACTAACAAAGAGAAAGTAGAACAATTCTATTTGGCATCAGTCTTCTTTCAGAACAGGATATGCATTCCATCAATTCATTATGAAGAGGTTGTTCAAAGAGCAGAATTTCAATTCAAGATTGATGGAGAAACCTAATCAGGGAATGGAAGCTTGTATGAGTTCAAATTTTATAAAGGTTTATAATGAGGTTGAAAGAACTGCTATTAGAGCTATGTGATGCTTTGGATCCAGCCTCCAGAAGGTACACCAGAGTGGATGAGAATACAAGTATAGCATCTATAGGTATGTGCTGCACTCTTTCCTGGCATGGCACCAATTGCAATTTTATGGAGATCCCAAGAAAAACAGCTGCTTTGAACTGTTGCTGACATGTGCTACATTGGTACTCCCATGTATTCTGAAGCACCTTTTGCAGACTGGATCCAAAGTCCTAATGGATATATTCAGCCTTGACTAAAGACAACCAGGTGGGAATATTTAGATGAGGGAATAGAAGGGGAACTCATCATATTTGCAGACACCAAGCTGGCAGGAATTGCCAAAACCTCAGAAGATAGCCTCAAGATCTCAACAGACTTGAACACTTGAAGCACAGGTTTTACACTTAGGCAAGAAAAATCAAATGTACAAGGACAGATTAGGTGAAATTTGGCTCGATGGCAGTAACTGCAAGAGGCATCTTGGAGTCCTAGTAGACAACACTTACATATGAGTCAACAGTATGCTGTAACCCTCAAAAAAGCCAATGCAATCCTAGGCTCCCTTAACAGAGCTATAGAATCAAGATCACATGAAGTGTTAGTTCCACTTTATAATGCCTTGGTAAGACCACACTTGGAATACTGCATTTTGGTCATCATGATATAAAAAAGATGTTGAGACTCTGGAAAGAGTATAGAAAAGAGCAACAAAGATGATTGGGGTGCTGGAGGCTAAAACATAAGAAAAATTATTGCAGGAATTGGGTTTGTCTAGTCTAGTAAAAAGAAGGAATAGGGGTGACGTTATAGCAGTATTCCAATATTTGAAGGCTGCCACAAAGAAGAGCGGGTTAACTTATTTTCCAAAGGCCCAGAAGACAGGGCAAGAAGGAATGGATGGAAACTAACTAAAGAGAAAAGCAACCTAGAACTAAGGAGACATTTCCTAACAGTGAGAACACTCAGCAATGGAACAGTTTGCTTTCAAAAGTTGTGGGTGCTCCATCATTGGAGGCTTTTAAGAAGAGATTGGACAGTCAATTATCTGAAATGGTATAGGATCTCCTGCTCAAGCACTGGACTAGAAGAGCTCCAAGGTCCCTTTCAATGCTGACATTCTATGAATATGAGAATAGTGTTCGAATATCTGAAAGGAGGTCTATTATCCCATAATGTATGCCCAAGAATAATATTTCCAAACATAGAAAGGCAAATACCGTAAGAGTTTGACAAAGGAAATACAGGTAATCCTCAACTTACAACACTTCACTTAGTGACTGTTTGAAGTTACAATGGTACCGAAAAAGCGACTTATGGCCATTTTTCACAATATGACTGTTGCAGCATCCTCATGGTCATGTGAGTTACATTCTGATGCTTGACAACTGACTCAATTTATGACAGATCCAGTGTTCTGGCGTCATGTGGCCACTTTTGCAACCTTCTGACTAGGAAAGTCAATTGGGAAGCCAGATTCACTTAATAACCATGATACTAATTTAACAGCTTCAGTGATTCACTTAACAAATATGGCAAGAAAAGTCATAAAATAGGGCACTTAACAAATTTCTGACTTAGCAACATAAATTTGGGGCTCAATTGTGATCATAAGTTGAGGACTACTGTAGTACTATAACTAAGGGAGTGGCAAGCTCCCTTGACTAGGTGTGTGCAGATAGCCATCTTTCAGACTAGGGACTTGAAAATCTATGATTTTATGAAACATTGTTTTTGTTTTATATTCTTTCAGCAATAAACTACTTTCTATCAAAGGCGGATTTGTTTTAGATCAGCTAAAAAAGCACTGCTACCAGAAAATTGACCTGGATTATGCTTAGGGTGGCTTATATATATTTTTGTTCACTTGCTATTATGCTATAATTGAAGATGTCACCTTGTTGTAGGATATCACTTTTGGACCATTTCTTTAGAAACCCATAGTCAGTTTTTTTGCAAACAATATGCAAATATAGTGCTGCCTGCAATATCTCACATTTCTTCTTTCAAGGTGGTTCTTAAAGCAGTTTACTTGGTCTTGAATCATGACATCAGCTCCCGAATCTGTGATGTGGCCCTCAACATTGTGGAATGTCTGCTTCAGCTTGGTGTGGTACCCTGTGTGGAGAAGATCAGAAGAAAAAGTGAGAACAAAGAGAATGAGACCAATGAAAAAAGACAAAGTGAAACTTCCTTTCAACTCAAGGGGGCTTTGACTACCTCAGCATCTGGATTTGGGACTACTCCAATCACTGGAGCAGGAGATGACAGTGGAGAAGGAGGAGGAGGAGGAGGAGTTGGAAGTGCTGCTGGAGGAGGAGGAGGAGGTGGTGGAGGAGATGGAGGAAGTGGTGGTGGTGGTGGAGGAGGAGGGGGAGAAGGTGGCGGAAGATCTTTTGAAAAAAATGATAAGAAAGAAGACAAGGTATGTTGAAGCTTTTATAGGCTCATTATTTGCCAATCAATACTATTATGTTAATGTTGAAAGGCATTTTTACAGAAGCTTCCATATTGATGTGATAGTCCATTGCCTAATTTAATTTCTGATATTGTGTTTTGAAAACTGTTAAAATTCCAGGGTATGAATTTATTTATTGTTATTAATTGCGAAGTCGTGTCCGACCCATCGCGACCCCATGGACAACATTCCTCCAGGTCTTCCTGTCCTCTACCATCTTCTGGAGTCCATTTAAATTCACACCTACTGCTTCAGTGACTCCATCCAGCCATCTCATTCTCTGTCGTCCCCTTCTTCTATTGCCCTCAATCTTTCCCAGCATTAGGCTCTTCTCCAGTGAATCCTTCCTTCTCATTAGGTGGCCAAAGTACTTGAGTTTCAACTTCAGGATCTGGCCTTCTAAAGAGCAGTCGGGGTTGATCTCTTCTAGGACTGACCGGTTTGAACGCCTTGCAGTCCAAGGGACTCGCAGGAGTCTTCTCCAGCACCATAGTTCAAAGGCCTCAATTCTTTTGCGCTCAGCCTTTCTTATGGTCCAACTTTCACAGCCATACATTGCAACTGGGAAAACCATGGCCGGACTATACGCACTTTTGTTGGCAGGGTGATGTCTCTGCTTTTTAGTATGCTGTCTAGATTTGCCATAGCTTTCCTCCCCAGGAGCAAGCGTCTTTTAATTTCTTGGCTGCAGTCCCCATCTGAGGTGATCTTGGAGCCCAGAAAAATAAAATCTGTCACTACCTCCATTTCTTCCCCATCTATTTGCCAGGAATTGAGAGGGCCGGATGCCATGATTTTGGTTTTCTTAATGTTGAGTTTCAAGCCTACTTTTACACTCTCCTTCTTCACCCGCATCAAGAGGCTCTTTAGTTCCTCTTCACTTTCTGCCATTAGAGTGGTATCATCTGCATATCTTAGGTTGTTGATATTTCTCCCGGCAATCTTAATTCCAACTTTTGATTCATCTAGCCCTGCCTTTCTCATGATGTGCTCTGCATATAAGTTAAATAGGCAGGGCGACAGTATACAGCCTTGCCGGACTCCTTTTCCAATTTTGAACCAATCAGTGGTTCCGTGTTCAGTTCTCACTGTTGCTTCTTGACCCGCATATAGGTTTCTCAAGAGACAAATGAGATGGTCTGGTACTCCCATCTCTTTAAGAACTTGCCACAATTTGTTGTGATCCACACAATCAAAGGCTTTTGCATAGTCAATGAAGCAGAAGTAGATGTTTTTCTGGAACTCCCTAGCTTTCTCCATGATCCAGCGTATGTTGGCAATTTGATCTCTGTTCCTCTGCCTCTTCGAAATCCTGCCTGTACTTCTGGTAGTTCTCGATCCACATACTGCTGGAGTCTAGCTTGTAGGATTTTAAGCATAACTTTACTAGCATGTGAAATGAGTGCAATGGTGCGATAGTTTGAACATTCTTTGGCATTGCCTTTCTTTGGAATTGGAATGTAAACTGACCTTTTCCAATCCTGTGGCCACTGTTGAGTTTTCCAAATTTGCTGGCAAATTGAGTGTAGCACTTTTACTGCATCGTCTTTTAAGATTTTGAATAGCTCAGCTGGAATACTGTCACCTCCACTAGCTTTGTTGTTGCTCAGATTTTCTAAGGCCCATTTCACTTCACATTCTAGGATGTCTGGTTCGAGGTCAATGACCATCTCATTGTGGTTATCTGGGATGTTAAGCTCATTCTTGTATAGTTCTTCTGTGTAGTTTTGCCATCTCTTCTTAATCTCTTCTGCCTCTGTTAGGTCTCTGCCATTTTGGTCCTTTATCATGCCCATCTTTGCATGAAACGTTCCCTTCATATCTCCAATTTTCTTGAAGAGATCTCTAGTCCTCCCTGTTCTGTTGTTTTCTTCTATTTCTTTGCACTGTTCATTTAAGAAGGCATTCTTATCTCTTCTAGCTACTCTCTGGAATTCTGCATTCAATTGGGTGTATCTTTCTCTTTCTCCTTTGCCTTTCGCTTCCCTTCTTTCCTCAGCTATTTGCAAAGCTTCCTCAGACAGCCATTTTGCTTTCTTGCATTTCTTTTTCTTTGGGATGGTTTTAGTTGCTACCTCTTGTACAATGTTGCGAACTTCCATCCATAGTTCTTCAGGCACTCTGTCTATCAGATCCAGTTCCTTAAATCTATTTGTCACCTCTACTGTATATTCATCAGGAATATGATTTAGTTCATACCTGAGTGGCCTAGTGCTTTTCCCTACTTTTTTCAATTTAAGCCTAAATTTTGCAACGAGAAGCTCATGATCTGAGCCACAGTCAGCTCCTGGTCTTGTTTTTACTGACTGTATAGAGCTTCTCCATCTTTGGCTGCAGAGCACATAGTCAATCTGATTTCTATGTTGACCGTCTGGTGATGTCCATGTGTAGAGCCGTCTCTTGGGTTGTTGGAAAAGAGTGTTTGTTATGACCATCGTATTCTCTTGACAAAATTCTATTAGCCTGTGCCCTGCTTCATTTTGTTCTCCAAGGCCAAACTTGCCTGTTATTCCGGTTATCTTTTGGCTTCCTACCTTAGCATTCCAATCCCCCATGATGATAAGGACATCATTTTTTGGTGTTAATTCTATAAGGTGCTGTAGGGCTTCATAGAACCGGTCAATTTCATCCTCTTCAGCACCAGTGGTTGGGGCATAGATTTGGACTACTGTGATATTGAATGGTTTGCCTTGGATTCGAATTGAGATCATTCTGTCATTTTGGGGATTGTATCCCAGTATTGCTTTTCCTATTCTTTTATTGACTATGAAGGCTACTCCATTTCTTCTGAGGGATTCTTGCCCACAGTAGTATACCTGATGGTCATCTGAGTTAAATTCACCCATTCCTGTCCATTTTAGTTCGCTGATTCCTAAGATGTCGATGTTCAGTCTTGTCATCTCTTTTTTGACTACGTCTAGCTTGCCTTGATTCATGGATCTTACATTCCAGGTTCCTATGGAGAAAAAATCTTTACAGCATCGGACTTTCCTTTCACCACCAGATATATCCACAGCTGAGCGTCCTTTCGGCTTTGGCCCAGTCGCTTCATTCTTTCTGGCGCTACTAGTACTAGCCCTCTGCTCTTCCCCAGTAGCATATTGGACACCTTCCGACCTGAGGGGCTCATCTTCCAGCGTCATATCTTTTTTCCTTTTAGTACTGTCCATGGGGTTTTCATGGCAAAGATACTGGAGTGGTTTGCCATTTCCTTCTCCAGTGGATCACATTTTGTCAGAACTCTCTGCTATAACCTGTCCGTCTTGGGTGGCCCTGCACGGCATAGCTTATTGCTTCATTGAGTTACGCAAGCCCCTTCGCCACGACAAGGCAGTAATCCATAAAGGGGGGTATGAATTAAGATTTGTTTTTATTTCTCAGTTTGCCTTCAGAGGTATTGTCATCTGATATCCCTGTTCAGATATTCACATGAATGTGTAAATATTGAAACTCAATATGGGATAGAGGAGCACATGGAAGAGTTATCCAAGTCATGTCAGTCTATGTGGCATGCAGTGTAAGATCTTGATCTTATTTCCAGAAGCAAAAATTAGAAGGATGTTCTTACACTCCCATCTTAATTTGAAGAATTTCTTCTAGTTAAATTTATATGCCTTTTGCAATAACAGTATTTTATTAGCATTAGCATGAGTAAAGTTGTAATACTTTACTGTGTTAGCTACAAGTAACAAATGCAAGAATACTTGCATTTGGAAAACTGCGTATTATTCTGAATTCTGCCAAATCAGCAATCGTACATAATAAAAGATTCAGAAAGTTGCAACTGGCTGATCAATTGTCCTCAATGTGTAGTCCTCAGAGGTTCTACATTTAAATGGAGCGTAGCATGCAGGTTTCACTGATTGACACCTGACTGGGAAAGATCTTGTGATGTGATGAACAAATGTCAACTTAATAAATAACTGCTACAAAGAAGACAAATTCAATGTTGGAATTCATTAGGAGCAGAACCGAAAATAAAGCTGTTTATATTATTGTACCCTTATAAAATCTAACATGCAGTCATATGTGGAATGTTATATTGCAGATTAAAGTACTAGAATCCAGAGTAAGCCAATTAAACTCAGGGTGAGAAAATCAGATTAGACTACATGAAACATGTGTGCATGTAGCACACTGTTACTCAATTTTCCAAGATGCCATAATGGCCAACAACATAGACAGCTTTAAGGGGGGATAAGAAAACATGGATAAGATCACCAGTAACAAAAGTACTTCCAGGATCAAAGGCAGTTTACCTTTTAGAACTGGCTTTTGTAGAAAATTGGTGTGCTTTGTGAGGTTACTATATTTATGTTCTCTTGGTGGTCTTCCCAAGGTCATCTGGTTGACATTTGTGAGAAGGGGATGCTGGATCTGGTAAACATTTATACTATGTGTTCTTACTTCTTCCAAGATTGTAAACAATAAAGAGAATTGCTTCTCTCTGTGTTTCAAAGTCCTTTGATCAGACCCAGGCAACCTATCCATCTAAATCTGATCTTTTTGTTTACCAGCATTAAAGCTGTCTCCTTTAAAGATACCTTTAAGACTTAATGGTCTCATGTTATCATTTGTAGAAGAAACTTCTGTGTAAGATTTATTCTGTTAATAGATAAACTGGCATGCACCAGTTTGATATTATTTTTCTGATTCTGAT